ACGCGCAATGTGTGTGTTTATGTGTGTGTACCCACAGCGGTGGTGTGGCGCGAGGCAGCGCAGTGCGTACAGCCACCAGGCACGCGCGTTTGCTCGCACCGGCACGCCAGGCCGCCACACGCGCAATGTGTGTGTTTATGTGTGTGTACCCACAGCGGTGGTGTGGCGCGAGGCAGCGGAGTGCGTACAGCCACCAGGCGCGCGCATTTGCTCGCACCGGCACGCCAGGCCGCCACACGCGTAATGTGTGTGTTTATGTGTGTGTACCCACAGCGGTGGTGTGGCGCGAGGCAGCGCAGTGCGTACAGCCACCAGGCACGCGCGTTTGCTCGCACCGGCACGCCAGGCCGCCACACGCGCAATGTGTGTGTTTATGTGTGTGTACCCACAGCGGTGGTGTGGCGCGAGGCAGCGGAGTGCGTACAGCCACCAGGCGCGCGCATTTGCTCGCACCGGCACGCCAGGCCGCCACACGCGTAATGTGTGTGTTTATGTGTGTGTACCCACAGCGGTGGTGTGGCGCGAGGCAGCGCAGTGCGTACAGCCACCAGGCACGCGCGTTTGCTCGCACCGGCACGCCAGGCCGCCACACGCGCAGCGCCCGCAGCTTCGCGATACGCTCCAGCCCCAGCGCACACCCCGCCACTTCGCTGTACTGCCGCTGCGGACACACACACCAACCTCCATTACGCTCAATAGGGTATTATACACCATGTAAAATAAAATCAAAAAATATGTATTTATGATAGAATTTGTAAAAAGTAAACGAGAAATATTGATTTCTGTCTATAAAATTGCATTATAAATTTTATATTTCAATTTTAAGAATTTTTTTTCGTTTGTGCCTAAAATCTGCAAAACGCTGTCTGCCATATTACAGCGTGTCGTGACGTCACTGATCCAGCCTATAGTGTTCTGTGTCACTGATTAAGAGAACTAGCTAAGGTGCTGTGTTATTCCGAAATTTTTCAAGTTATCATTACGATTATTGAGTTTTATACCGAATTTTATTGAAAAGGCATCATGGAAGACGAATTTGTAAACAGCAGAAAATACTAATCACAGAAATATAAACAACAGGAGAAGTGGCAAGGGGGCGTGTCTGTGTCCGCGCGCTATGATCAAAATGCTCAGCTTCTATACAAATGGCCGACCATGCGAATTAGTGCGCTGTCGACCGTCATCGTGAAATATTATCAGAATACCATGTTGTTTAGTGGTTTCTTGTAAAAATCGAAGCTAAAACAAAAACTTTGTTAATCATGAAATCACTTACCATACCTAAGTAAAAGTATTTAATTATATTTATCTTTAAAATCATATTAAACAGCAAATCGTAAAATATTTCTTGCTCTTACTACGTTATTTTTGATTTCAAATATCACAGTCACTGTAATATTTTTGCAGTAAATACATTGCTCCATAACCAGTACCTTAGTATGACGCCAAGTGACTGAACAAGCAATGTAAATATCACAAAATGATACTTTATTTATGCAGATATATGGCGTAGTACGGCCGCTGTATCTTGCGACGAGCTAGTTATGTGCTTGTGTAGATCCACTATCGACAATAATGTGGATTGGTGAATTGTTATTATAGTTTATTCTCCAATTTGTCAACCGTTTCAACCCGATAGGAAGACCGACGTGACACAATGTTTTTTACTTATTTTAATTATTTTACAGCAACTACTACGCTGAATGCGTAAGCAACGGTCGTGAAGTAAGTTGATTAAATTTTAGGTTATTATTACATTTTTATCTACATATTAATTACTTTTATTACACTATTCTCTGGACATATGGTATTTTATTTATTTTATATTCAGGGCCCAAAAAAATTTTAGTACAATTTGGGTATAAATGAAACAATCGTTAACTTTCCAATTTAGTCAATCACTAACGTATATGTAAAATAAATGGCTTTTTTACAGCACAACGATAGTGACCGATATTTTTGTGTGAGTAAGTGGCACGGTGAATGTTAAATGCACGCTGTTCTTTCAGAGATATGGTTTAAAATTGATTGGTTAGTACGTTCTGATTTATAAAATGCGAGTGTATGCGCGACTGTGTATCTATTGCTTTTACTGATGTGCATATGTAGTAGTTGGCGCGTGGTAGGGGCCAACTGGAGACACCGGGTTCCGATACATTTTCAACTACTGAGCATATCTCCTTATATCTTATATCTATGGTACTAATTTACCAAGGATAAATAAATTGATGGTGGCAAAATTTTTTGCATGCAATCCCAATTTTTGTTTTGCTGATTTGAGGAATTTAAAACATCAATGTAAGTACATATATGTTTATACAAAAACACAATACCAGGTGAGACAGTATTTTGATAAAACATCGTCTAGTAGCTATCATAGTTTAGGTTATCTATAATTACAATCATTAGCAATCATTAGTTATAATATCTAAATTAACGTAATTTACTACAAAATTAGACTTGCGATACCCTTCACCACGCGCGGGCGTGGGCAAGTGCGAGTGCTACGTACGGAGGTGAGGTTCAGCAGCACGCAGTGGGCATAATTGGCACGCGAGGCGCGAGGCGCGGAAGAGGGCAAGTGCGAGTGCTACGTACGGAGGTGAGGTTCAGCAGCACGCAGTGGGCATAAGGTGGCACGCGAGGCGCGAGGCGCGGAAGAGGGCAAGTGCGAGTGCTACGTACGGAGGTGAGGTTCAGCAGCACGCAGTGGGCATAAGGTGGCACGCGAGGCGCGAGGCGCGGAAGAGGGCAAGTGCGAGTGCTACGTACGTAGGTGAGGTTCAGCAGCACGCAGTGGGCATAAGGTGGCACGCGAGGCGCGAGGCGCGGAAGAGGGCAAGTGCGAGTGCTACATACGGAGGTGAGGTTCAGCAGCACGCAGTCAAGCGTGAGATGACACGCGAGGCGCGGGCGAGTTCGCGAGCGCAGCGGCTGCTCGCAGCGCTCACGACGCACGCGAGCTCGTGCCGACGCCGGAGCCACCAGGTACCGATGCTGCGCCAACCATGTCGCACGCATACGTTCCTGTATCAAATAACTTGCGGTAAATTCCACTGAAATCCTTCTTCCAAAAAAACTGTTATTGATTTATTATTTATTGTACACCAAAATACAGAAAACAAGTAGAGTTCAAACTAAAGTATAATATGTACAACGGGCGGTCTTATCACTCTGAAAGCCAACTCTTCTAGACAACCTAAGCGTAGAGGATTGATGCAAAGAATGGTTAAGAGGGGGGTGTAGAAAAAAATACATATAGATATAGATATATTATCTACATTATATAACTTCTTTGCCTATGAAATTGCCGTTATGCACCACTGGCCATTTCAAATCAAAATAATTTTTGTTGAGCTACTATGGTTTTGATGTTAAATTCCACAATCGCCTACGATTCGTCAATGTCGACCAAAGTTTTCGGACGACCACGGCGTTCAGGGCGACATTTCGAAATTTCCAGGACGGAAGCGGACAAACCAATAACAGGTGGTGCGTTCGTTTATTAATATTCGTAATATTCGGTCGGTAAATTTCGTTGATGTAGCGTGCCAGTTGTGCCGCGTTGCTACAAGGACGGTGCTCATATTCCATAATTACTCGTAAGAATTCTAATTTCAAAAATTAATTTTAACTTAAAAACATGGAATTCTTTTTTTGTAATGAATATGTTTTCATCGCATTTTTATCTTTTTCTACATCATGGATACGTTAAAAACTCGAGTAATTATGGAATATGTGCACCGTCCTGGTAGCAACGCGGCACAAGCGGCACGCTACATCAACGAAGTTTACGACGCGAATATTACGAATATTAATAAACGAACGCACCATCTGTTATTAGTTTCCGTCCTGGAAATTTCGAAATTTCGCCCTGAACGCCGTGGTCGTCCGATAACTTTGGTCGACAACGACGAATCAAAGGCGATTGTGGAATTTAACATCAAAACAATATTGATTCATTTGCGTCAAATTGGAAAAACTTATTGGCATAACTTTTGGCGGGAAAAAGTTCAATACTCAAGTACAAATGCCGTACGAAATGAAAATTTTTGTTACCTCACGTCCAGCAGATTTTTTCAAGGGCATCAACAAAACGCCACTGCGATGGCAGTAGTTACATTGTACCAGTTCTGACTCACTGAATCAGAAGTGGTACAAGTACAACGTTCGTCGACTCACGATCCTAAAGAAAAAGGTTTTGGTATGCTCTGATCACGAATCTGCGGTCCATTTTTGTGTAGGATGCACGGTTCCTGAGATGTGCAGATCAATTAACTCTTATCTAATTGATATCCGGTGAGGGCCTCCACCGTCATTAGCGCTCCATTGTTCTTATCTATTGTTCATTAATACCGTCATTATCTATTTGTGTGTCGGATTATCAGTGCTATTATATTGTACTCCTTTGTTCCTAACTGCAACGGTAACCTGAATCATCAATAAAATACATTACCTAATTTTGTTACAATTTTTATTTACGAAATACAAAATCTTATTACTTATTATCTATAAAATAGGAGCGAAACATCTCATCCACTAAAATATCGTTGTACAATGTGTTCCCTGTAAATATACTCGTAAAACTATGCATTGAACATCCCTGAAACTTATATAGCAAATACGTTAAGCAATATTCGCCACAAACTGAAGTCCACTCATTCTGAATCCTATCAACATTCCAGTTCCATCGTTTAACAATTCCTTTTTAAAAACTCTAGATGATATCGTACACGTGCTCGTCCGTATGAATCAAAATATTGACTGACAACATTCGTACCGATATATAAAGATACCCAATGTGACCCTGGTTTATCATCTGTATCCAAATTGCATATTATATACGTTTGTACGTGGGTGTACATGGGCAGTCTATTAGCAGCATAAACATTATTTTCTAGACTGGGGTGAATCTTTTTCAGACGTTGTTGTACATCTAGTGTATCCATGATATTACTGCTATTATTACAGTACAATCTACTCAATGACTAACATAGGAATGATCAATTATAGTGATTTGTAAATATTGAATTGCATTATTTTGTGTTATACAAAACGTATTTGAGTCATCAATACACTGAACAAGACGCAACACGAAGTAATGCTGAGATAAGCAACAGAATGTGAGATAAGCTTGTTGACGCATAAGACCAAGCAACTGCAGTCATGGAGTTAGTGTATGGTCGTTTGACCGCAGTGGATCTATCTATACTACATTTGTGTTACTTCAACGCATCAAAGGCCATGGATGTAAGTTTTTATTCTATTGACAAACTTACTTTTCTTTCTGTTATTTTCTTACGTGTGTATGATTTAGTGTTAACAAATTATATTTAAATATTGTATTTGTATATGATTAAGCCGTGGTAGCTCAGATGGTTAGCGCAAACTGTAAATTTCACAGTACGCGACCCGGGTTCGATCCCCGCCGGCACCAATTAAATTGTTAATTGCAATTTTAAGTGTCTATTCTATTGACAAACTTACATTTCTTTCTGTTATTTTCTTACGTGTGTATGATTTAGTGTTAACAAATTATATTTAAATATTGTGTGTGTACCGCATCTACGAATACTAGAGTAGTTAAAAATACTTTTTTTAACAATGACAGTCATTAGTTGATCATTAGTGAATGTGATTCTGTTTACTTAAATTACAGGAAGACAAGAGCAGAAGGAAGAAATGGGATGATGGGAAGTAATGAGCATTGTTATGTGAAGTTTGTTGGAACAAACATATTTTTAGTCACGTGTAAATACTTTTAACATTTTGGTTCAAAATGACACAAAATCTAAAAAATATTAGATACATCATCGACATGGACGGATTTTACATTACATATCCTCATAAACATTTTCAATGTAAATGAAACTAACAAATAAAAATGATGCGTTTATCGATCATTATTTATTTCGGCCAAGTTATCCCTTTCAATTATTTGTCGCCAAAAGACAAAAAAACTGTTCGTTATTGTGAAACACACGTGCACGGCATTCCATATTTTGATGTGACCGAAGAATTAAAATGTGCCTACAAACAAGAGAACATCATTCTCATATTAAATTGGTATATTAGAAATTTGTGCAAAGACGAAGTGATCGCATACAAAGGTGGTTCAACAGAAAAACAATTTTTAAAAATGTTGACGACGAATGATAGAATTTTTAATATTAAAGAATACAAATGTCCAAAATACAATGATTTGGTAAATGTCATAAATTTAAACGAACGTTATGTGTGTAATAATCATATATTTGCAAAAAATATTGACAAAATTTTACATTGTTCTTGTGACGAAGTGTGGGTTTTTTACAAGTGGTTATTGATTGAAAATAAAATTTTAAATTAATCTTAAATTTTGTTTGATTTCCCAAAAACATTAGTTATAGTACACAATATATATTAATTGTTTACACCAACACTTTCATTTTTTATTTCACCCCTTAGAACTTTAGACGTGTGTAATGTTTCACTTTATACATCCGTTTACTGCTATTGTGGCAGGACCAAGTGGATGTGGGAAGTCAAATTTTGTAACAAATTTCATAAAATCAGTTACAGAAATATGTAATTGTGATTTTAATCAGATCACATAGTGCTTTGATGAAATGCAACCTTTATATAATTTACCAAATGTTAACTATCATCAAGGAATTCCAAATCTTAATATGTTTGATGGTGAAAACCCACATCTCGTTATTATTGATGATTTAATGAGAGAGTCCGATGTAACTTTAAACTCGAACAGTGTTTTGTATTAGATTAAATAGAAGATTTATAAAGAAATAAAAAATAATATATTGCATACAATTTGTTTTATTTAATTTTATAACGTTTCACATAGTTACATACACACAAAATGCATTACACATAACTCATAAAATCTAACACACAACACATATTATAACCTTAACTACTATAGTCTACAGTAACATTTCTGTTTTTATCTATCTCAATAATATTATCAAACTCAGCATAATTAATTACTAGCTATACAGTTAATTGTTTGTATTAGTGAGGATTCAAATCGTACTTCTAATGTTACACTACCATGCTTTATGAGACTCCAATGAGCTGATGAGTTGGCTGATAAATCAGGAGTTAAGTCAAATGCTAATAGACAGTAACCTTTGGCATACTATTCACAAGAGATTCCATTCCCTTCATTAAGAAAGTGAATACCAGTTCCCGAGAATAGAGTATTATATGCTGATGTAAATACACTATTATTAAAAGATGGTTGCAAAGCTTTTGAAGGTATTTGTTGAAAGAATTAATACCATAGTTTTCAAAGTTAAATGGATTTTTAGTAAGGGAACCATTATATGCAGAATTGTTCACAAATCCAATTATAAATCTTTTGGGTACCTGCCCTAAAAATATATTATCAAGAGTTTTTCCTTGAACACCCGATGGAATTGTTAAAACTTTTACACTTGGATTAATTCGTGCTCGTCGAACAATAAGAGTTGCATCCGTAATGGAAACTTTAAACTTTACATCGTTTGACCCAGCAATTAAATTAAAACTCTCTCTTGATCGAACCAATTTAACACTCATTTCAACACCATTAATTAAATATTTATCTTGGTTGAAAATGTCACCGTGAAGATGACCAATCATTTCTATTTCCCTACTTTCACTAATCAATTCCTGTCTTTTAACAAATCCTATGTTTTTACCATCCGTAGAATCCATTTTTCCTGCTGTATCATCATACCAAATACTACAAGTAAGATGAGATTGTTTAGCAGCAGGAGCATAGTTTAAAAGGGTTTCCATGTATGCTCGATATGCATAGGTGTTATTAGGTGGTGATACAAGTTTTTGGTTTAAATAAACATCAAGTTGACTAAAAAGTGAATGCAGCCAATTATTTACAGGTGCTTCTATTGTAGTAGATATCAAGTTAGTTGAATCTTGATTTAATACTTTTGTCTTTATGTGTAGAAATGTATAAGACAAATCTATGACTTAACGCACTCGCAAGAATGATTATGAAGGAAAGACATATTTAATTTGAAAAT